ATTAAAGCTTTTTCTTTATAACTTTCTCTTCTCTTCTCTTCTCTTCTCTTCTCTTCTCTTCTCTTCTCTTCTCTTCTCTTCCTTTCTTTGCACTTCTTTTCACTTATTACTTTTCCTTCCTTTTCCTTTTCTCTTTCAAAATGTGTATTGTTTTTATTCTTTTTAAATTATAATTTTATGAAAGACTTGTAAAAAGAAAATAAAAAACTAATACAAACTCATATATAGTAGGAAAAAAGAAAGAAAAAGAAAGATTGAAAAGAAAGCTAAAAGTGCAAGAAAGAAAAAAGAAAAAATAGAAAAGAAAGAAAAAGATACAAAAAAGTGGCTTCTGATTTTCTTTGCAGCAGTTATAAGTACAACCCTGAGCTACATATAATCTCTTCTATTGGCATCATACATTCCTTCACTTGTTCTTCTTCTGTTTCAAATTTCAATAAAAGTTTATACATTTTAGCAATTACATGTTCGCCATTTGTATACAATGATGTATACTATTTCGAAGTCAGTCTTAGAATGTTCAGAACCATAAATTCTTGGGTCTACTTTAAATCTTTCTAATAGTTGTAAATAAGAGAACCATTGACAAGTGTATCCCTCTACCACCAGTTCTTCTCTTGATTTTATTTCACATTCTCCCGACAAAATTCTAGTATCTTACAATAGGTTAGCCACTTGTCACTGTTGGGGAGAATTTCTATGACAAAAATGAATGTTTTACCTACAATGATGTTTTTGTTTCAGACAATATCTGTTTTGACAACTGATGCGCCGTTTGAACAGTGGCAGAAGGATCTATCTAAATTTGTGTGGCAGGGGGAAAAAAAACCCTGGTTGAATACAAAATGTTACAAGATGGCAAGGAAAGAGGAGGATTGGGTTTACCTGATTTGAAATTTTACTTTGCAGTTTGCTGTTTGGTTTGGATGAAAGAGTGGGTGCTGTTGAGAAACTGAAGGCTTTTGGAATTAGGACACGACCTGAGATTTAGGTGGCATGGATATTTGTGGTACAACAAAATCAAGGTTAACGTGGATTTTAAAAATCACTATATGTCATATTCAGAATGTGGAACAGATACAAATCCAGGTTGTGCCTGAAAACACCTTTGTGGCTGTCAGCACAAGAAGCATTTTATAGACAAGAAATGTTAAGCCAACACAAATGGTATTGTTTTTATTCTTTAATTAAAATTTCTATATATAAAAGCGGCTGGACAGCGTAGTGGTTAGAGCACCGCCTTTGATGCAGGAGACCATCAAAGGGGTCTCTGGGTTCAAATCCCAGCTGGTATCTACCTTACCAGTAGGGGTCCTTGGGCAAAGACCCCCCAACGCTTCACCTGCCAACCTCAAATGTGAGAGTGACACAAACTAAAAGAGTCATGCCGGCTCGGACATCACCTGGATTAACAAGGTCTACATCAGATGTTGGGGAACCAGGAGAATCTGACGA